TTTTTTTTTCTTTTTCATTTTTTTTTTCTTTTTCTGTGTTTTGTTGTTGGAAGACTCGATGAAAGCAGCAAAAGCTCAGATTACTGATTGTATTAATGACAAAGGTAAGAAGTAGTTCACTTGCATAAAAGTATTTTGAGAATCAATGATATCATACCGATTAAAACACACAGACACACAAAATAGACTCACATTATGATGCACTCTACTGCCTCGCATACAGTTTTAGTAACTATATTGAACTGAAAAAGGATAATATAAGCAATTGCACACGTATATTAAAAAAAGAAAAAAAGAAAAAAAAGAAGAAGTTACCTGTGATTCTCTTCCTGGGATTGATTGTCAGCATTTTATCGATTAGGTCAATGGCCAATGGATTTACGTATGGGAAGACCTTTGCTAAAGGCTGACGAGGATGTCGAGGAAGTTGCCGGATGTATTTTCTTGCATCCTCATTTCGGGTGAATTCAAGGTCAGCGTCAGTAGGTGTTCCCAGAAGCTAAAAAATGTTACCAAACATTAGTAATTGCCTGTAACTTGTTAATCATGTGAAAATTTTGATGTGAGTAGTTATCTAAATTAGTTATCAATGCAAGAGGTTGTCTATAATTTTAAATACATATCAGTCCAGTTATTAATATGTAATTAGCTGAAAAGAGAGCAGATTTTCCACAGGGAGGGATATCATGCTAGAATACCCGTAAATAGATAAGTTTCTAGTTCATTATTAACAATTGAAGCCTTGATATGCTAGCTTGAGATTTTCACAAGCAGTCTCACCTCTGTCAATAAGCGCATTTGATGCACGTGATCGTTTCCAGCAAACAAAGGCTTTCTGTTCATAAGCTCCATAAAGATGCAACCAACTGACCACACATCTATTGCCGCAGTGTACTCTGAGGAATTCAACAACAGTTCAGGTGCCCTGTACCATCTGGTCACAACGTATTCTGTCATGTACTCATTCTCTGCGGTAGGTCGGGCAAGACCAAAATCACAAATCTTAAGATCACAATTAGCATTCAACAGTAGATTGCTGGGCTTCAAATCTCTATGGATCACATTGGCAGAATGTATGTACTTTAACCCTCGAAGTATCTGATACAAGAAGTACTGGAAGTAGTCCAATTGTAAAGCAAATGTTAGTGGTGGCTTGTAACTTTTGCTAAACAAAAATAAAATTTGAAAAGAAATAGTTTTACCTGAGAATGTTCTTCTGACAAATTCTGATTAGATCGAATTATTTGGTGAAGATCAGTGTCCATGAGTTCTGTAGCAACGTAGACGTCACTGAATTCCCTCCTTAATGGAGGAGGGATCACATCGCGTATACCAACAACCTGTAACCATTTTTTGAGCTAAGTACCTTGGCCTAAAAGAAAATCTTACCAGAGACATGAAATTCTTACTTTTTCATTTTGCTGATAATTTCAACTTTGAAAATGGAATATTATTTTCTATCATGGAAGAACTTTCTTAGCACTAGGTATTATTCTGCTTTTCAGAATTCCAAGTGATATTCTTTTTGTTCGAAAGCATTTGTAGTACTCCAATTTTATACTGGATGTCTTAAAGATTCTCAATATTCAACGGTAATCCCAGATATAAGAGAAAAAATTACATGCAGAGCCTATGCATAACTGCATAAGAGTAATGGATATATCAGCAACTGATCACCATGTTTATCCAGTAAAGTGTCTATATAACTGAGTGAAAATGCATCTAATATATAATTACATACTATTCCGTAAGGAAGAAATCAGCTGCAAATTTTGAGGCTTCCGTACGGATTAACTGATTATTGCAACATTGGAATAACGCTGAATCAAAACGAAATTAAAATTTCAAAGAGGCATTTTGCAGCGTGTAATTCGGCCTATTGCATCAAAATTTGTAGAAAAACAAACTAAAAACTTCAATTCTGGGTCTCTAAGGCCCTAAATTCATGCCGTAAAAAACAAACAGCTATAAATTAGTCAAGTAACCGGTGGAGAGAAAGACTAACATTATCGTGATCCAGGTGGCGAAGAAGTTTGATTTCACGAAGGGTCCGCTTTGCGTCCATGTAATTATCGAAAGCATTCGCAATTTTCTTAATTGCTACCATCTCATTAGTCTCCGAGTTCAAAACCGAGCTTCAATATGCAAACAAATAGTATAATCGGTCAGAAATAATCAAAAGGCGATCAGAAACTAGAATTAATTAAAATCCAAAATTACTTACCAAACGATTCCGTAAGCTCCACGGCCAATAGGCATGATCGGATGCCGATACTTGGTGGTGATCTCAAATAAGTTTCCAAAAATATTATACTGTATAAATTGCCCTCCGTGGGTTGCAACCGCCGGAAAATCTTGGTACTGGTCAGCCATGTATAATGACAATTTTCTACGTATTTATTTGAATACTATAACTGTAACAAACACTGTATAATTATATCAGCTTTTATTAACACGAGTTTGAATTCGTATATATACACCAAAATTGAGGGCGCTGCGAGGCAAGAGGGAGGAAGGTAAGGAGAAGAAGCGCGTATTCTGGATAATTTTGACCACATTTCAGCAGCCTCTGATCTACGGTTGGATTTTTATCTTCAACAAGGTCAACGGTCAGTGCCAATCTCTTAAATTTCTATTTCTTATCCTTTCAACATCTTTGAACGCGCTAAACCTTTTTTCTTGTCTTCGAGCCAATTTTACACGTTGTTATCTTCCTATGCTTTTCCTTTTCCGCTCACAAAATGCGGAGAAGAACTTTTTTTTTTAACGAGGTGTCCCAACTTGCGTCAGACTATATACTCATCCCTAAACCTCCGGCCCCCTCAGCTGCTCAGGGAGGTAAATCGCAGGTTGTGCTCTTATTGGCTCTCAGGTTCCCACATGGCTTTTACTCCTTCCCCAAAGGGAGCCTCTTCCATGGTTATTACAACACCAAGCTGCTCCAACCCTTCCTCATGGTTATTACATCACTCAACTGCTCCAACCAGGAATCGAACTCCCCACGCTTGGTTCCAGAGCCCTCCAATGTGATTGTTCCGCCAATTTGGATGTGCCCTGGGGGGCAAATGCGGAGAAGACTTGTTCAAATCTAAGGTTGGTCATGAGCACAACTTTTTTACTATGGTTTCGATACGTTACGTAATCGAGAAATCTCTACTAATGCAAATGCTATTCAAGAACAATTAGTCGATCTGACTGAAGAGGAAAGAAACGAATTTTTAACTATTGAAATCGAAATCAAACAATTTTGGACTAGTTTGATTCGATAGATTACACGACATAGAATAAGATAATTACGATAATTTTATTTTCCAATGAAACTCGAACTTAGTTCAATGACTTGATGATATTTTATTTTTACTACTTAAAGTAGACATCGTCCTTAATTATGATCATTTATACAAGTAATGGGCTTAGAATCTTTGAAAGTAGAAAAAGAAATTAGAGCCTTCTTTATGAAACTAAACCATTTAATACATTTGACCAATAATGAATTGATGTCAAAGTCAATCATTGTTCTATGAATAAACTCTCCAAGAGTCTTCTCTTGTAGTTTGGTTCTATGGTCAATGGACTTTCATACTATTCATTTTGCTATAAATAATATGTAAAATACTTTCAAAAATAAGAAATATTAATCAGACATTTACAAATTAAAATAAAAAAAAATATGATTTACATCATTAATTTAATTGAAATTTACAGAAGATGGTTATGAATTCCTTTTTATTGCGAATTCATGGTCACTTGGAAATAATAATATTTTAATTTAGAGTACAAAAGACTAGAGATGTCAAAAACTAATAACTCCCGAGTATGACATCAATTCATTAATATATGTATTTCTTCCTTTTGATGTTTGAAATTCAAATTGACCCCAACATTTTTAAAATGATTTAATTTTAGCCCCATTTGGACTATACTTCTAACAAAATTATATAATACCTTTGACCAATAATGCACTTGTAACGCTTCGAATTCTAATAATCCGAAACGTTATGAAACATGAATATACCAAAGGGCTTGAAATAAATAGTTTTAATATAACGAGAAATTCTGTAAAAAAATTGAATAACATTTAATCAAAAGATAAATTTAAATATGCGGAACGTTTGAAAACATACAATTCATCAAACATTATTAGAACAATTAGAACTAATTGAAATTTTTAATGTACTCACAATTGAGTAAAAAAAAAAACCCCCCATTATTATTAAAATTCTAGTGTTTCTGAAAGTTAAAGTACTTCATGACGAGGATCCGTTGATCCAATAGCAAATCCATCCACCGCCGTCCAGCATATTAATTCTTACCTGAAAATTGTAAATAAAGGGGATGAGTATAACAAATTATACTCAATTAGATACTTGCTACTCCACATTCAAGTCAAATATGAAATTACGAATAAATTCTCTTACCAATATACAATGAGAATTATCACACCATGACAAATGATAATTCTAACAATCTGCAAAATAACGTGAAAGCTAAATTGTGCCTTAAAATATATCATGATTTTTTCCGAAGGAGCCTGAATTAAAGTAATTAAATTCATACATAATAACGCATTTGAAAAGATGTGGAAAAATCACTAATAGCACTGAGTGTCTCACCGTTTGAAGATGAAAGTGGAGGACAAAATTGTAGAAAACGTGATTGCAATTCCAAAGCCTTAATAATATGGAGGAATATTTTAAAGATGGGGAGATAATAGACGTACTGAAGCGTACTGTAGAATGAAGAATTAATTGTAAAATGCTTAAACTCTCATTTCATATATATAGTAGAAGAAAAGTGGTGTGGTGTGAGCACTTTAGAACAAATCACAAAAATTCGGGTTAATTACCCCCAAAATTTCCGTCCAAAGTTTTCCAGAATTTGGTCTAATTCCCTAATTGATATATACTAATTTGGAGATTCCCTATTAGATTTTTGGCAAGAGACACAATGATTGCATAATTTTGTGGACACGTGAAAAAAATGTATGAATTACACGTGTAACGCTCCGAACTCTTTTTCATATTATTATATTATTTTTAAATTAAAATAAGCTCGAGGTGCTACCAAAGCCTTTCTCTATCTAATTTAAGCGGAAATATAACTTTTTATTTTAGTGATCAAAATGTGGTCGACAATTCAAAAACGTTAAAATAATGATTTAAAATAAAATCTTGAAATATCCCATCTCAACTGTAAATTAAATTTAACATAAAGTGTCGAATGTTTGTACTCTAAGAAAAATATTAAATATCATGCATAAAAATTAAAGTAATGATATTCTTTTAAATAGAATTTGACGATTATTTTTCTATAAACTTTACTTGAAGACCCCATAAGCATCGCCGGTCAATCTTCCACTCATCCACATAATCCGATCTAATCTAAAAAATATTGTAAGAGTGAATATTTTGAAAATACTCAGTAAAAATACGTGCATATTCTTATAACATGATATAAACATAATATGGCATAAAATATCGACATTTCTTAAATTTAGAGCAACTGATCGCGATTTCAATAGTTTAAGGAATTTCTTAAGAATCCTCATATCCCGTAAGATTTAACATATTGACCCAAAGGTCCATCCCGTAGGATTTAACTTCTTTTCTTTAACCTGACGGTCCATCCCAAATGATTTAACATAAAATTCGACCCGAAAGCCTTATAGTATTTCATGCCAAATTTACATAAATATCAAGAATAAAATTTTATGACTTGCACCATGTATTCTTACCTCAATTGACACAAAAAAATATGAAAATATGATTTGTGGGATGATATAAAAAGAAATTTATCGAACAGTATGTTGTAGGTGCATAAATTGTAAAGGAATGGATTTGTTCACATTTTAAAGCAAACCCCAATCTCTTATATAGTATTCAATGACACGGAACGTCAGTAGGTATGATGCCTTTCAGTTTAAGAAAATGTAATCATGAGATCAGTTTAAGAAAATGTAATCATGAGGTAAGTTAATTTATTTATTATACATTAATGGTTAATTAGGTTTAATATATTGATTAAATTAAATCGTCTACATTCGTTTCATATTATAAACGTACACACCTTTTCATTTTATATATATATGAATAAAATATTAAAGAAAATCACTTTCCTTTTATGAGAATAACTTAGTATGATAAGTCCAAAATTATTTCTTCTTGAGCCAATTTATGTTATTTAACATGAGCTACAAAATGAGTATAATATCGATATATATATATATATTTTTTTTAATAACTTTTAAAATACTTAAATATTCGACCCAAATAAGTTACGATAAATTAAAAATATACGTTTGCGAAATAAACCATTTATGCAAACAAGTGGGACGTGTTTATCACTTTAACTTTTCGACTTTAGTGTAACGACAATGTTGGACATGAATTATTTTATTTACTAAATTACCAGCCCATGTGGAAAAATTAAAAATTTGGAGTGTTACAACATGCATAATTCCTATTCTATTCCAATGTTAAAATCAATTAAACAATCCAAATTCCACGTGATATGCTCCTCTTATGAATTCCAAAAAATCTAAGTATTTAATTGATATTAAATTACAACTAATTGACAACTCTCCAAAATCAAGGCAAAGACGTAAAACCTATCATTTTCTTTCTCCAAAATGAAAGCAAAAAAATATAAAAATAAAACCTACCTTACCTACCATGCCTACAAAGATACACAATTACAAGATCAAAAAAATTGGCAACAGCACGATTTCATTCCAAGACTTTAATTAAATTGAATATTAATTTTCTTTTTCTTCCATCAACTTCTTTAAACGATAATTTCTTGGCATTGACTTATCCAAAATGACTTTTTCTCGAGTCTAATATATATGATTAATTACGAGCTATCCAGTGAGCCTAATATTGATATAGTAATTTAGTCCGAATTGGCAATTAATATTATTAACTAAGTAGTTTTTCTTAATTGGCTATAACTTGAGTTTAATTTATTCAAATTAAATTCTTCCCGAGTCTATAATTCGTCATTTATTATGAGCTTCAAAATGAACCCAATATTGGTAGGATAATTCTAACTCCTTCAATAGTTAACTATTTGGCCCATTTAATAAAGTATAAAAGAATTCGATATTTATTGTCATTTTGGTCCGTCAACTAATAAGATATCTGTAGATCTAAAACAACTATAGAGATAATCAATTAACTTGCTTAAGGACTTAACCAAACATTGCATTCCTATTAATTGGTAAATAAATATATATACGAATTAATTAAAAAAATTTGGGATTCTATAACCTACCCTCCTTAAAATAATTTCGTCTTCAAAATTTACCTTAGATTAGTTGAAAAGTTCGGAATACTTGATTTTTATCTCATCTTCCTTTTCCCAAGTTGCTTCTTCCACTCCATGGTTACGCCATAAGACCTTGATTAAGGGAATATCCCTATTTCTCAGTACATGAACATTTCTTTCTAGTATCCTCAATGGCATTTTTTCATAGGTCAAATCATGTTGTACATCTAAATTTTGATGGTTGATCACATGATTAGGATCCTGTAAGTATTTTCGCAAAATTGATATGTGAAAAACATTATGTATTGCTGAAAGTTCTGGCGGCAATGCCAGTCTATGTACCACATCTCCGATTCTTTCGAATACATCGAATGGTCCAATGAATCTTGGTTTCAATTTTCCTTTCTTTCCAAATCTAAGTACTCCCTTTATTGAAGCTACTTTCAGAAATACCTTGTCACCAACTTGGAACTCGAGATCTTTTCTTCTTCTATCGGCATAGCTTTTCTGCCTGTCTTGAACAACCTTAATTATGTCTCGAATCTTTTCCACAGCATGTATTGTTCAATCTATGATCTCAGGTCCAAGAATCCTTCTTTTTCCAACCTCATCCCAGTAGATAGGTGATCTGCACTTCCTACCATATAGTGCCTCATAAGGTGCCATGCCTATAGTTGCTTGAAAACTATTGTTATAGGCAAATTCTACTTAAGGCAAGTGTGATTCCCAGCTACCACCAAGATATAGTACACAAGCTCTTAACATATCTTCAAGTATTTGAATTGTCCTTTCGGATTGTCCATCATTCTATGGGTGATATGCAGTACTAAATTTCAGTTTTGTTCTCATAGCATTTTGTAGGCTTCTCCAAAATTTTGACGTGAATCTCGAGTCTCTATCTAAAATAATAGAAATAGGAACCCCGTGTAACCTGACTATTTCCTTGACATAAATATGTGCATGTTGCTCCATGGTAAATGTCATCTTAACTGGAAGAAAATGGGCTAACTTTGTAAGACGATCCACTATTACCCAGATAGCATTGTTCCCTTTAGCCGATCTCGGAAGTCCTACCACGAAATCCATGGTAATGTGTTCTCATTTCCACTCCGGTACATCTAGTGGTCTAAGCAACCCTGAAGGTCTCTGATGTTCAGCTTTTACTTGCTGATAGATCATACATTTACTTACAAAAAGTCATATTTCTCTTTTCATATTTATCCACCAAAATATATTTCGAAGGTCTCGATACATTTTTGTACTGCCCGGATCGACTGTATAAGCGGTAGAGTGTGCTTCTTCAAGAATTTCTTTCCTTAATCTCTTATCGTTAGGAACACATATTCTACCTTTATACATAAGTACTTTATCATCAGTAATTGCAAATCCCCTTTGCCTATCTGTCCCAACTTCAGCCATGATTTTACACAAAATGGGTCATTCTTTTAGGCTTCTCTAATCCGTTCTCTAAGAATTGGTTGAACCATTAGAGCCGCAACAATGGCTGACTTCTGTACCGAAGGTGTAACTACCTCTAGCCTCAAATTTTCAAATTCCTTAGCTAACTCTTTTTGAGTAGTTGGAACTATCAACTTTCCAGCCATCTTTCTACTCAGAGCATCAGCAACTACGTTAGCTTTACCTGGGTGGTAAAGAATGGTGCAGTAATAGTCTTTAACCAACTCTAGCCATCTCCTTTGTCTCATATTTAACTCCCTTTGAGTAAAGAAGTATTTGAGATTTTTGTGATCCGTGTATATCTCACATTTACTGCCATAGAGATAGTGATGCCATATTTTTAGTGCGTAAACTACTGCTACGAGTTCTAAGTCATGAGTTGGGTAATTCTGCTCATATGATTTTAACTGTCTAGAGGCATAGATAACGACCTTTCCATGTTGCATCAACACACATCCCAAACCTTGTTTAGAAGCATCAGTATATATAACAAAACCTTCTGAACTATCTGGTATTGTTAATACTGGTGCTGAAACCAATCTTTGCTTCAATTCTTGAAAACTACTTTCACACTTATCCGACTATTGAAACTTTACTCTCTTTCTAGTTAATTGTGTCAGTGGTCCAGCAATTTTAGAAAATCCTTCAATAAATCTCCGGTAATAGCTAGCTAGACCCAAGAAACTACGAACTTCGCCTACATTGGTCGGTCTAGACCAATTTGTTACAGCTTCAACTTTAGCTGGGTCTACCTCAATTCCTTGCGTAGTATTCACATGACCAAGAAAGTCAATACGATCTAGTCAGAATTCACATTTTTTGAATTTGGCGTACAATTTCTCTTTTCGAAGAGTATTTAATACCACTCTCAACTGCTCTTCATGTTGTTGCTTATCCTTTGAGTATACCAATATATCGTCGATGAAGACTTTAACGAATCGATCTAGGTATGGATGAAAAACACGGTTCATTTAGTCCATAAACACAACTGGTGCATTGATTAACCCAAATGGCATCACTATGAACTCATAGTGCCTGTACCGCATTCTAAAAACTGTTTTTGGGATGTCACGATCCTTTATCTTGAGTTGGTGATAACCTGATCTCAAATCTATTTTTGAGAACACTGTTGTACTCTTCAATTGATCAAAAAGATCCTCTATCCTTGGGAGTGGATATTTGTTCTTTATAGTCAAATTATTAATATCTTTATAATCAATACACATCCTCATTGACCCATCTTTCTTTTTAACAAACAATACCGGTGCTCCACATGGGGATAAACTAGGTTGGATGAAACCCTTATCCAATAATTCTTGTAGTTGCATCTTCAACTACTGTAATTCTTTTGGTGTCATCCTATAAGGAGCCTTAGATATTGGTGTTGCCCCAGGGGTCAAATCAATTAAGAACTCTATTTGCCTATCTGGCAGTATAGAAGGTAAACCTTCAGGAAAAATATCTACGAACTCATTCACCGCGGGTACATCTTCTATTTTTCTTTCGGACTTGGGTTTATTATTTATATTCAATAAAAATCCTCGACACGTATTCTTTCTCAACATCTTTTCTGCTTTCATTGCAGATATCAATCGGGGTAGAGTCCCAATTCTTGCTCCAAGGAATCAAAATTTTTCTTCTCCAAGTTTTTGAAATAAGACTTCATTCTTATGGCATACGATAGTTGCATAATTTCTACCCAACCCGTCCATACCCAAAATTACATCAAAATCTTTCATTTCCAAGATGTACAAATTCGCCTTTAGTACTTTTCCTTCAATCTCCAACTTAACACTTTTAAACATTTGATCAGTATTAATGACTTCGTCGGAGGGTGTACTAACTTCTAAAATGTTATTCGTTTCTACGCATTCATTCCCAATTTTATCTATAAAAATTGTAGAAATAAATGAATGAGTCGATCCAGAATCCATAAGAACAACAGCAGGTATGTTAAATACTGGTACCCTGTTATTACGTCTATGTTCTGATCCTCCTTTTCTCCCATCAAAGCAAATACTCTGGCCTTTCCTCTCTTAAGTTGGTCACCTTCTTTCTTCTTCTTTGGACATTCTCTAAGGAAATGACCACTTTTACCACAAATGTAGCATAATCCCTTTCCTTGAAGACATTCTCTCAAGTGTCGCTTATTGCATTTGGAGCATTGAGAAAAAGTTTTGTTTGAGTCTGACCAAATCTTTACTTTCTGATTCTGATTTATGCCTTTGTGGTGACCTGGCCACTTTCTCTTTACAGAAGTCTCGGTGTTGGGTTGAGGTTTCTTTTCCAATCCTAAACCATTAGAAATTGCTTGTGCTCGACGTACAACTTTCGCATAAGTAGTATACTGCTGGGCTGCCATAATTCCTTTAATCTATGGCTTCAACCCCATTTTCAACCTTTTAGCCTTCGTCAGCTCAATGTTTACCATGTGTGGAGCGTACCTAGAAAGCTGTTCAAATTTCCTTTCATACTCGCCAAGTGGCAAATTTCCTTGTGCAAGTTGGAGAAATTCTACCTCCTTTTGATCCCTCAATGGTTGGGGAAAATATTTACCTATCAACGACTCCTTGAATTGATCCCAAGTGAGATTACATAGTTGTTCAGCAATTTTAGTACATGTTTCAGAATCCCACCAATGTCCAGCATCGTTGGTCAACATGAACTTTGCACATGAAACATTTTGAGCGTCGTTACAGTTCATGTGCTCGAAGATCCCTTCAAGTCTTCTTAGCCACTCCTCAGCTGCGAAAGGGTCACCTTTACCATCAAAGGACGAGGGTTTAAAACGACGAAACTCCTCAACAATCGAGCTCATGGTGTTAGCACTTCATGTTGCATTATTAGGTGCCGCTTGAGCATGCTGCCTTCCCAAGTCTTGCATTGCCATCTATAAATATTTAAACATAGCGGCTAAACCTTGTTGTTGTCGTGCCATTTCCTTTAAGTAAAAGTAATCTATCTTAAGAACTATTCAACCATGCTACATTCTTCCTATAGATCTTTCTATACAATGTCTGTCGTATATATTATGCTAAGGCCAAAAGCTGGCCATTAAGGTTTTTAGTCATATGATAATCATATTATTAATCATATGATCTGATGCAAAATAATAATAATACGCTTAATTAACATTCTTCTTTTGAATTAAATGATTTATAAGGAAAAACTCATGAGATTATACAATTAATTAGTGGGCATGAAAATATAAAGGATAATATCAATAAAAATATTCTTCATCTTTGCATACCTTAAAAATATTGGACATTGGCAGATTGATGAGCATTGGATTCCACGGATCTTGTAACTTATTATTATATATATAAATTTTGTAAAATGAAGTTTTTTTTTTTATTTTCTAAAATGAAATGATTTTCTTAAATTTTGAAGTGGGTCTAAAACATTGTTTTCGTCTTATCGATTTGAATATCGCGCAACTAAAGAGGTTTCCAGGTGATGAGGGGGGGTTACAAGTGAACCGCTTAAATCCCAAGCTTGCCTTAGACAATTTAGATCTTTTTGACAAACCCTTTTGATTTTACGAATACGCAAATCAAGAAAACTCAAACAATGAATTCCCCCCAAAAGATTAAATACGTATAGCCCCCCCCCCCCCCTTTTTAAATCACTATCCACGTTGAAACCAATTTAAATATATAGAACAATGATTAATATCTAATATTTAACAAAGAAGCACATCTTTAAAATCATATATTAAAAAAATTATTAACAATAAATAAATGGCACATAAAGTTTACCGACATACACATTTAATACACTTAACAATTTATATTAATCTAATTCTCATATAGACAATCATTTGAAATCTGTAATGACCAAAGTTTACAATAAAATACATATGAGTCGTTACCATTCATTTAAAATCTCAACAATATTCATTATTGATAATCGATCTTTATTCTATTACAATAAACTACCGAACATGTAAAATAAAAGTGCTCAACATCATATAAAGATTTAAGAATGAAATTTATGGTTGAAATCACTTTTGGCCCCGTAAAGGTGTTATCAAACAGAAACTAATATTCATAGTTAGGACTTAGGAGATAATTACATATTTACGATATGATAATAGTTTAATGGGAAAACAAAATGTTAGTGCATATGAACAGTAGAATAAAAATGAATTCCAGCAATCTTAACATATATTTTCTCTTTTAGGCCCAAAATGCTATAATGAAGAAAAAACAAACGTGCATTTTCTTAACTTCTCCATATGGTACAACATAAAAGTTATTAAAAATGAGCAGATAAAACCATCATTTTAAATCACGTTCAAATCAATTAAAAGCCCCCCCCCCCCCTTTTTTAAACATAAAAGATTAATATCTAATCTTTTTAAACAGAAAAATTTGTCACATTTTTTTTTTGTTTGTCTACAGGATCGATTTTAGAACAACCTGGCTCTGATACCAATCTATAACGCACCGAACTCTAATAACCCGAAACGTTACGAAACATGAATATATCAAAGGGCATGAAATAAATAGTTTTAATATAATGAGAAATTCTGTAAAAAAAAATTGAATAACATTTAATCAAAAGATAAATTTAAAATATGCGGAACGTTTGAAAACATACCATTCATCAAACATTATTAGAACAATTAGAACTAGTTGAAATTTTTAATGTACTCACAATTGAGTCAAAAAAATAACCCATTATTATTAAAATTCTAGTGTTTCTGAAAGTTAAAGTACTTCATGACGAGGATCCGTTGGTCCAATAGCAAATCCGTCCACCGCCGTCCAGCATACTAATTCTTACCTGAAAATTGTAAATAAATGGGATAAGTATAACGAATTATACTCAATTAGATACTTGCTACTCCACATTCAAGTCAAATATGAAATTACGAATAAATTTTCTTACCAATATACAATGAGAATTATCATACCATGACAAATGATAATTCTAGCAATCTGTAAAATAACGTGAAGGCTAAATTGTGCCTTAAAATATATCATAATTTCTCCCGAAGGAGCCTGAATTGAAGTAATTAAATTCATACATAATAACGCATTTGAAAAGATGTGGAAAAACCACTAATAGCACTGAGTATCTCACCTTTTGAAAATGAAAGTGGAGGACAAAATTGCAGAAAACGTGATTGCAATTCCGAAGCCTTAAAAAAGTCTTAATAATATGGAGGAATATTTTAAAGAGGGGGAGATAATGGACGTACTGAAGCGTACTGTAGAATGAAGAATTAATTGTAAAATGCTTAAGGTCTTATGTCATATATATAGTAGAAGAAAAGTGGTGTGATGTGAACACTTTAGAACAAATCACAAAAATTCGGGTTAATTACCCCCAAAAATTCCATCCAAAGTTTCCCAGAATTTGGTCCAATTCCCAAATTGATATATACTAATTTGGAAATTCTCTATTAGATTTTTGGCAAGAGACACAATGATTGCATAATTCTGTGGACACGTTAAAAAAATGTATGAATTGTATGCATAATTCCTATTCAATTCCAATGTTAAAATCAATTAAAAAATCCAAATTCCACGTGATATGCTCCTCTTATGAATTCCCAAAAATCGAAGTATTTAATTGATATTAAATTACAACTAATTGACAACTCTCCAAAATCAAGGCAAAGATGTAAAACCTATCATTTTCTTTCTCCAAAATCAAAGCAAACAAATATTAAAATAAAACCTACCTTACTTACCATGCCTACAAAAATGCACAATTACAAGATCAAAAAAATTGGCTACAGCACGATTTCATTCCAAGACTTTAATTAAATTGAATATTAATTTTCTTTTTCTTCCATCAACTTCTTTAAACGATAATTTCTTAGCACTGACGTATCCAAAATGACTTTTTTTTAGTCTAATATATATGATTAATTACGAGCTATCCAGTAAGCCTAATATTGATATAGTAATTTAGTCCGAATTGGCAACTAATATTATTAACTAAGTAGTTTTTCTTAATTGGCTATAACTCGTGTTTAACTTATTCAAATTAAATTCTTCCCGAGTCCATAATTCGTCATTTATTATGACCTTCAAAATGAACCCAATATTGGTAGGGTAATTCTAACTCCTTCAATAGTTAACTATTTGGCCCATTTAATAAAGTATAAAAGAATTCGATATTTATTTTCACTTCGGTCCCTCAACTAATAAGATATCCATATAGATCTAAAACAACTATAGAGATAATCAATTAACTTGTATAAGGACTTAACCAAACATTGCATTCCTATTAAATGGTAAATAAATATATATACGAATTAATTAAAAAAAATTCGGGATTCTATAGCACTAATGATTATTGTTCTATAAATGAGTCTCTAAAAGTTTTATCTTAATACTCCCTCCGTCCCATTTATATAGGCTGATTTTGTTTTTCATACGGATTAATAAATCTTATTAATTTTATGTTATTGAAAAAGTAGTTTTTGCTAAAAACTTTTATAATCTACCTTTATTTATATTTGTACAATTTTAGAATTAAGTAGGTTATAACTAGACAAATTAAATACATGTATATTAGTAAACGAACAAAACAAAACATTCTTAATAAAGAAATAGGACTACATAATTTGGACAAAAAGAAAAAGAAAAAAAGAAAATCAGCCTATATAAATGGGATGGAATAGTACTACAATAATAACACATCATGTTATAAAACATTAATTTAATTGAAAAGTCCAAAAATGTTTATCAACTGTTTTTTAATGAAAAGTCACCAGCATTCTTGAGTCTTGATTAATTCACAATATTTGTAAGTCACAAGTACTCGTGAGTTTTGATTAATTCACTAGAACGACATTTGTTTTGTATCTTACGTATTTAAGTCAGTTTGATATGAAGAATTTTAACAGCCAATTTGATGTTAGAATTTGAAGTTCAAACACTAGAACACATTGAAAATAGCTTTGTGAAAGAACAAATTAAATTTGTTGAGCATTTGGCATGGATAAAAAATACAAAAATTATCGGCTAAAGGATAGGTTATAAAAGAAAAAGTTCCATGAGATAAAGTTTTGTTGGAATGTTGTTCAACAATTAATAAAATGTGTGTGGAATAAAAAGTGGATGTTGATGTGCAAAACTTGGCCTATGCGGTGGCATGCTGTCGCATAGCCATTTACAGAAAATTCGAGGCCTGGCTTTGAATGTTCTATGTGACCGTATAGGATTGTTCTATGCTGTCATATAGAGCAATTTTTTAGCCGTTGATGATCATTTTGGTTTAAATTTTGGTGGCTTTTCATTTAATTTTGGCACCACTTCGTGAAGTATGTTTGAGACCTATAAATAGGTGATCAGTGATGAAGGAAAATACAATTTGAAAACATATAGAATTCATTCTCGAGAAATTTTGATTCCACAAAACAAAAGATCGTCATTTTCTTCATATTCAAATCCTTTTGTGTTCTTGAGTTTGAAGGATTTCACTTAATGCCTGGGCGATTAATCATTTTCAAGACTTGATAATTCCTACAAGCCATTTTTCAAGTATCTCTTTAAGCATCTTATTCAATTTGAGTGGGTGTAAATATCATTTGAGGACAACGATCACGTGTTTGGGCTTTCAATTTCTATATTCATATTCCTGGTTTTGATTTCTTGTTTCTTTTCCACTCCTCTCCTTGTGAAGATATATTCTTCAACAAGTTTTACAGTAATTGTTTTTTTGAGATTAAGATCGTGTTCAATGTAAAAAAAAAAAAAAAAAGGAAAAAAAATCAGTTTTTCACGATCCAAGGAGCTCAAAGTAAGAACTCAACATCAAGCTCTAGTTCTAGCTCAAAGTAAGAACTCAAGATCAAGC